TATTATTATTATTATTATTATTATTATTATTATCATGTATTTATATGTATTCTTAGTTAGTGTCATAAGTTAAAGTAGTTTCTATGCTTTTATTTTGAAGGCATGTTTTGGGCACTGGGTGATTAGAGCACCTGGTGTAATTGTATATATTGGAGACAGGTGGAGGTGGGAGGCAGAGCACTAGTAGGCAAACCACTAGTAGGCAAACCACTAGTAGGCAGAGCACTAGTAGGCAAACCACTAGTAGGCAAACAGTTTTTTTTACCAGGGTGTTTCAAGCCACAGGGTATTCCAAGCCACAGGGTATTCCAAGCCACAGGGAAGGAAGCCATAGGAAAGGCTTAAAGGAACCAACCATAGGAAACCTGTTCATTGTCAATGATATAGGATCATAATAAATGCACAACGGAGTAACTTATCTGGACCTGAATTGCCCTGCGTAAGATCTGCTAACTAGTGCCTCAGCGGGCTGTATTATTTTAAGTTAATTATCTGTTTTAGTTATATATGATTTTGGCTGCTACATACCTACAAACCCATAAAAACAGAAGATGGTACTGGACATATATAGTACATTTATTGCAGAATATTTATATTAACTGTAATTGAGGAAGCCAATTATTAAGGACAGAAGTCTGAAACCACCTGAGTGGACTTCCTGGACCTTTCTGTCATCTAATTGACTGGTCGTATTACTTAATTAGCATATTAAGGTGCATATTAGTTTCCACGTGGCGGCTCAGATTTAATTGGCTACTTCCATCCCAAAACAGGATGACCCAAGACCTGTATATCTTGCTGTGCGTCTCCAGCTCTTCTTCACTTTATGCTGCTTCTTTCTTCCACAGTGGTCGCTCTCATGCTCTTGCCTTGGTACTCCTGTCGTTTCCTTTCTGTCTGTCTTTCTGTGTTTTCTGTATGTGTGTCTGTGTGTATGTGAGGTCTGTTTCTCGTGGAAGGACGTTTGGTTTCAACACAGACTTTTCTGTTATTCCCTGCAATGATGCTACTTAGGATGAAATAGATGGACTTAATTTCCATGCTGCTCCACTGCTTTGTTTTTTTCCTATTTTATTCTCTCTTGTCTCGTCTTTTCTGTGTCTTTTAATGTCTCCTTTCTTTTTTCCTTGTTCTAATTTTCAATTCCTGCCACTGTTGCACTGTTGTAGGTTTGTTATTAGAGGAGCTGGAAGCACTTTCTGAATTGCATGCATAGCTGATGCGTACTAAATGGCAATGCTTAAAAGATGTACAGTCATTTAAGTTTAATAAAGCATTATTCATAATTAAATTAATTAACTCCCTTTCCTTTCCATTCTGCAGTGAAGAAAGCAATAGAGTTGAAGTCCAGAGGGGTGAAGATGATGCCCAGTAAAGACTCCAGTCACAAAAATGCAGTCTGTAAGTAAACTGTTGCCTGTTGTGTTGTTGTTGTTTTTGCAGTGTGACTCCACGCCATGTTGAAAAACCTTTTAAAACTAATGTTAAACACATTTGGTCACACACTGTACGTGCACAAGGACATCCATCTGTGATGTGGCAAGAGCAACAAGGTTCAAAATAAAAACCAAAATCCATAAATATGTGTGCTTACAGAAGTCAAATGTATTCATAGAAGTGAATATGTTTTAAAAATACACCTAGAATTTGTAAAGACATTTTATGTTATGCTACGGGAACAATCCATTTTTTCAGTTCAATACAAACCAACCAATGAAATCTAAACGTCCTTATTACAAATACTTGTCACTAATAAACTAAAATACCGTAGCATTTTGTCGCTGTTATTTTGGTTGCAAAACGTCTCAAGTCTTCTTTTGCCACACACAGTAAACCTCCCTCAGCTGGTGTCACAAGAATAATTAGCTACAGTCCATAATAAACTCAATGCAGCACAATGACTCAATTTCTGCTGGCGTAGCTATTGCTTCCCAATGGACAAGTTCTTATATATCCATATCTGCTTTCTATTTCAATCTAACTTTCTAAATTTCAAGTAGAGTCTGGTGGTTTTGCGTTAGGATTCTTCACGACAAAGCTGGAAATGTGCCCACTGCATCTTTTTGTTCCCTCTGAAAGTGCAGCCAAGAATCCTGCAAAGTGACAGTGTATTCTCCCTCAGGTGAAGTCATTATGTAATGGGTACATTTTGTATTGTAAGCCAGAAGAGAAATAGTACAGTCCTATAGTGGACATTAATGAGGGCTAGTATATGGAGGATAAGTACAAAAATACAAAAAAAGTCCATTTAGTTTCTGTCTGCTACATTATTTTTCACTCGGCTCTCCTCTCTCCCCGACTGTTCATGTGCAAGCTCTTTGCTTGCATAATACCCTACATGTCATTTAGAAAGGATTTAAGTAGATGTTGTTGTGCCTTTCGCATCGCTGTTTTTGACATGTGAAAGCTTTTAATTTTTTTATTATTCCAAGAGCACAAAGCATGACTACATGTCAAAGCTAATTATTATATTATTTTGCATTTTGAGGCTGTAATTTAGATGCTTTAAATTATTAAATTGATTTCACATTTGTTGTGATGAACAGGATTGACTTTGTTCTATAATCTCAGGCAAGATGCCATGTGTGGATTTGATCACACACAAACCCCATGTTTTCATGTGAAGGAAACTGACTGTAAGCTTCCTGGGTTTATTAGAGGAAGTCAAATGGACACAAAACAAAATGTTCCCCTTTAAACTGTGGGCTTTCTTTTGGAAGGTTTTTTTGGAAGGTTTTCCTTGTACGATGTGAGGGTCTAAGGACAGAGGGTGTCGTATTGTCATACTGATATTCTGTACAAACTGTGAAGTCCACTGAGACAAATGTAACATTTGTGATATTGGGCTATATAAATAAATATTGATTGATGATTGAAAACAAAAGCAAAGCTTTGTCAGAGAAGGTCCTTAAGATGACTTATAACTATTACATTGTAATGCTGGCAACTATTTTTCGAGAGTAGGTGACCATTTCTGCATTTTCTTTTGGTATGTAGGCCAATAAAATATACAGTACCTCTAGTTTCTATGTTAGGCATTTACTTATTTGCTCAAGTTAAGCTTCATGATATCTTAACATCAGAAGAACCACCTTCACTACTGTTTGCAGAGAGGATTACATATTGGTTGTTATTTAATAAATCACATTGAAAAGACAAATAAAAAACAACTGTAACTCTTCTGTGCTTGTAGTGTTTAAATGGGTGTTAGAGGCGTTAGCTCAGTTGCAGCTAATGGGATTTCTAATACACTTCTATATTATGTTGACCACAAGGCAGAAAAACGATGAATTTTAATGATTGATGCAATGAATATTTGTACAATTGGCAGACATATTTGTTAGCAGCTTGAGATGCCTCTGAAACTGTATTCAGATCATGTGACAGAGGCTTTTAATCGTCACGGAAGCTCGAGCTCATACCTCATCCATTCCTTAGGGTTTAGCTCCATAATAAGACCCTCATCAATAATTCTACTGATTTACATGCTCAGCCAAGCATGTGCTGCTGCAATTACCATTCATATGGTGTTTTTGTGTCTGTACTGTATGTGAAGAAGAAATTGTATGTTCTTGTGTGATTTTTCATGTGTTGCAGCAATTAAGATTACATTACAAGATGCATGTTTCATACCAAATAAAAGTGGTATAGATGAAAATATTAAGTCACCACATTACATGTTATCAAATATTCGCAACATTNTACTTTTGAAGGTTTAACATAATTAATTGTGCTACTTTTAAAGCAAGCAAGGTCGATAGCGTTTTTGCGGACCTCTTTGATTACAGATTTGAAAACATCGTTGCTTGCTTTAAAAGTAGCACAATTAATTATGTTAAACCTTCAAAAGTATCTAGATATCCCTGCCCTAATGCCAAAGGAACTGCACACTGAATATGTTTTGCCGTTTGATGTCTATGTCTGGACCGCTGCGTCCAAAAGGTAGATACTGACTTGTTGTGAAAAGTAACTTACAATTCTACCCGTGGTATACGCTCAGTATATCACGGCTAAGAACCAATCAGATTGCTTGATTTGACTTGTCCGTTTTATAAAAAGAGATATATAGCTCCAACAAGGTATGTATTGTAAGTACAGTGCTAGTGTCTAACATGCATGTAGGCATAAAAAGGAGGCAGAGAATAGAAGAGACTGAAAGTACCTTGGTATTGTGCGCTGAATCCTTTCCTTCGATGGTTGCTATCTGAGGTGAAATGTATCCGAAGCCAGTTCTTATTCGAGATCACTGGTGATGGCAGGGTTGTACCAGTCAGCCTGGAAGTAAGCAAATACCACATATTTTATAAAAAACACAAACAAAGTAGTAGAAGAACACAGGCATAGAAAAATGCAAAAAAAACTACCTAATGATTTTCACATCTTGTAACGATCAGGACTTTGTCAGCCTTTCTAAATTAGAGATGAGTTGCACTTTAATTTAATTGTAAATAAAATACAATAGAAACAGACCAGGCCAGAAAGAAAGGGAAGATTTAGCAACATTTAAGCTGTGGTTGTTGCAGATCCACAGCATTCACCACTATCACACAGAGGCCCGCTCCAACGTTAGTCCACTGTTAGTTGAATTATTGTTATTGTTATTGTTTTGTTTATGTGCACATCAGGGTACACATTGATGGTGAGCATCACGCTTACAGAGAGATTATGTTTTCTTCAAGAGATTGACATGTATGTAATGGCTTTCTGTTGCGGTACATGCACTCAGGTTATGGGTGTGCTCATGGAAGACAAGCCTACATATTTCAATTTGAGGTAGGTAAAACCTTTCTAACAAAAAAATGCTGTTTTTAGGGGAAAGTCACCAAAATGTGGCCATGTAATTACAGACGGCAGCATGACCAGTTTCTGTTGTGAAATGACTCATGACAAACAAAAGACGGTGTAGCGTACAAAACAAAGAACTTGAAAATGTAAATAACTGCACGATCTAAATGACCTTCTCTGATAGCCTGTAAAAAAATCGACAAAAACAAAAAAACATCCCTATTTAAATCAGAACTTTCCGAGAGTTTAAAGTGTGATTATAATGTCACTTTGCATTATCCTCTGAGGTGCAAAGGCTGGCTGCAATTTAAGAAGATTTTAGCTGAAAGACAATTTGTTCCACTGGCTTGAAATATGTGGACGAGGGAATTGAATGAGTGATATTATCCCTTCCCATAATAACACCACTGACCAGAAGCGGAGCGCAGCACTTGTCCTGGGTGCAGTATAACTCCCACGTGAATTAATTACAATAGTTTCTTGAGACAGGTTGCATGTTAAAGTGCACTAAAACGCCAAGAAGCGAGGATATAAGATGAGAGGAGTGGAGTAGTAAAGTGGAAGAAGTGAAAGAAGATGGTAATAATCATAATAGTGGTAGAAAGTCAACAAAGTTCACATCTTCAAAAACACTTGTTTAAGCATCATCACCGAGACGATGAGTTGGTTGCCTATGGTCAAACTTACATCAGCTTTAACTGCTCTCACATTTAGTTACCAACAGCAACCAAGGGGGTGATAAAGAAAACTTTGAAAAATGTGAGGGAAATAGTGCACTGAGATGAAAAAGGAAATGATGTAAGAAACTGCCTGGAAGCCAATGTTCTACCATCCTCCCTAGAGCAACAGGAGCCACTCTAACTGCCCTTTAATAATGCCGCAGGTAAACTGAGTAGATAGAGAGACCGTAAGGGAGGGAGGAGCACTGATAAGGAAAAGGGCAGACACAACATATGAGGATTGGTAAAAATAAATATTAGGAGAGCTTGTTAAAGGCCCTTATTATGGGATTATCACTGAAGAGAGTGAGTTCAGTCTCTGTTAATACAGTCGGGAAGGTTATCAAACAAAAAAGGACCGCTCAAGACAATAAGAAAAATTGAATATAAAGAACATCAGATGAGATGAAGCTCTGCCCGAAGGCAATTTAACTGTTTAGTATACACATCAAATAGACTACGGTAGAGCAGAGTGTTATCTCTCAGTCTCAGCGAGTGGTCTTTATCAGTTAGCGTGGTTAAATACACATGCATGTAGTGAGACTCACAGTAATGACATACTGTATATGAGACATGAGTGCAAGAACCAGAGAGAAAAAAGTTTGAGGGCATTTTGAGGTTGGATAGCGAATATAGTGCACTTTATACTAAAACAATGCATCCCACCCTAATGACCCCCATACATATGTGTTTTAGCAACATGGATGTGCAGTTAAGTTAAGTATAACATTAGTGAGCTTTTCAGCCAAAGAGGATTTTTGTTACCCAAGTCTCAAAGCACTTTTCATTCTAGTTATTTTTGTAAGTGTGTGATTGTATCTCATTCTCTGTACTTTTTGAATCAGGCTTTTAAAGAAAGTGTTCTCCGACAATACATAAGATTCACATGATGAAACTGCTAACTGTAATATAACAAAATGGTCTTGGACTGTTTTCAAACAATTTTGCACTTAAAACATTTTAAGAGAGATACATTTCCCTGAGGGATCTGAATGCATGGTGCAAGATGTTTGGCCTCTGAATTACTACATGTGTGTTACTTTGCAAATGTTGATGATTTGGTATACAATTTCTGCACTGTACAGAATCTATTATCGCAGCTTTAAGAAAATTAAAGAGGTCACTCTTCTTCAAACTGTGCTTTTGGAGTAAGAGTTTAACTTTCTGGTTGAGGAAAACAAAGGTCCATGTTGCATTTTGTAAGAACTATTGTGTTTAAAAGCCCAAAAAGATAGGAAAATAAGATGAATAGAGGGAGAAACAGATACAAAGACTTAGGTCTGCAGTATCTCTTCTATAATTCATGAACACTGGCCAGCTGTTGGACATTGGAATGAGGCAGAGACAAGAGGTCAGAAAGGAAGATGACAGAGGGAACGGACATGAGAGTGAACATTAAAGAAAAGGAGAGTAAAGGGGGAGGATCAAATGAGAAGAGAAGAGGTGGAACTGATGAAAGGCTTGAAAAAGACAGGCTTAGTTAGTTCAAATAATACACATGAAGGGGAGAGAGAAGAGACAGATAATAAAGGACAGGTTGGACAGAAACTGGTAAGCAGGTAATAGACGACAAGCAGAGAAACCATCCAATGGACGGCAAACTTACAAGGTTAAAGTAAGCAGAGGAGAAAAAGGACGGAGAAAAACCGGCGAGGAAACAGAGGCTGATAGATGGAGAAGATGGTAGAGGAGGTGAGAGCAGGACATTCACTTAAATGAACAGAAGGAGAGAGGTTACACAAGCTGCGAGGAGAGGTCCAAAGTTGAAAAAGGGGGGACAAGGAGGCAGCTCTAAATGAGGTTAGACATTACAACCAGGTTGCAAAGGATGGAGACAAATGAGAGAAACTGGAAGGAGACGAGGGACTGGAGAAAGGAGAGGCTGGAGAGCCCAAAAGATAAAAGAGAAGAGAACGTTTCCAATGAAGACTAATAACCCCTATGAAGATGAAACGAAGAGGAAAGTGCACTAGATATGAGAGGAGAGGTTTGACAGACCTGAGAGGAGTAGGCAATAGGAGAGTAGAGGCCAAGTCACAAGAACAAGAGCGGAGAGGGGGACAAAGGATCCAAGAGCAGCATACAGGTATTTCTGTGCACCTCTCTATTATTAGATTATTACACAAGCTTTTTGCTGATACATGAACATCACAAAGACACAGAGATAACTTTGTACTGCCTGGGCAATGTTGTGTTGGCCCTTGTCCTCCCTATTGGCTCTTCGAATTGCTAGCAATACATTATTTTAAGTGTTTTCCACTGCTGCACTCATTGGCACGTCCCTGTGAATGTGAGCATCTGCAAAATGACTAAAAGGCACTGCAAAAATAAATGATTGGATACAAGTCAGAAAAGTTGGAAAAGCATTATCCAAAACAGATAGCTGTTTATTCCAAGTGCTTTGTGAAAAATCCTGGTACACCGCTACTTTTAATCTCATAACACACCCACGCACTCACACAGGAACACACAATAGCAGAGCCAGTAAACATAATTTAAAATGTAGATGTAATAACAGGAAAAGAGAGTGTTTCAAAGTGGAGAAAAGAGACCAAGAGAAGGCTGGTGGTTACAGGCAGGGGAGCAGAGGCAAAGAAGAGGGGGAACAGCGGAAGCAGTTTAGAAAAAGAAAAAGCGACTGGAAGGGAGGAATAAAATGAGATGCAATAGAGGGACATAAGGGGAAAGCAAAAAGGAAGAAAGAGGCACTAAGCACTGCGGATGGTTCACCCACATTTGCTGCAGGCCTGTTGTGGTGCCCTCTGAATTGGCAAACAAGGCCAGCCAATCCCAAATTTCAGTAAGGGGGCCAGAGGGTCTGTTGAAATGATCGGGGAATTACACAGCTAAACCTTCCAGAGAGCGCCTGCCAAGGTCAGGGTGCTAGAAAATAAATTATGGCCGATTGTTAAACCTCACATTTATGAGCGATGCAATGCAGGCTCTGTGATGAAAAAAATGGATCAGCACTTAACGCAGTTCAAGTTATTTCAGCAGCGATGGGAATGCGCTTCATTGTCTTGTCTACATTTGTTTTAGGGTGGAGTAAAACCCTCACAATTCTGTCGCTGGGGATGTGTGAGCTGTAGGGTCATCAAGTCTGTTGAAGCTAGGCAAATGACTCTGATAGGGGTGTGCCTTTCCTTTTCTTTGTATTAAACATGTCAGCATTGACATTAGCTTAGAATTCTGCTATTTGCAGATCATGTTGCCCATCATGGAGAAGTTTAGTGGGATTTGTTTAGGGTTAGAACAACAGGACCTTCATGTTGATTGAAGGAACCAAGCGGAGACACATCTGGCTAATGGTAAGGATGCCTTGCCAGGTAACACATAGGGGCATCTGAGCACAGGCTAGAGGGGCTACACCTATCACCTGGCATTGACTGACACTCTGGATCTCTCAGAAGGAGGGAAAGAGGTTTCCAACCAACATGACATCTGGGCTGCTCCTCTAATTATGTGGTTACTGAATGAACAGATTTTGCCCTGTTAAATGACTAGGAAATGACCTGGATAAGAAAATAGAAAATAGATGACTGAATGTAAATTACTTTGCCACAAGTGTTTCTACTAATTAAAAATGAAACTGTATGTGTGTGACTGAGAGAAAATAATGATTGTTAGAGAGGAGAAGAGACAGAAAAAAAGAGACAGATGGGAAAGTCAGAGGTAATAAAAAAGAGAGTGGGGTTATAAAAATACCATTGCTTCGCAGATATTTGGTCGTATTAGGGAACATTTTAAATGGTATCTGGTGATTGTGCTAGATGCAAAGTTGGCTGCTCACAAGTATAATTCATCCTGAGGGAAACTAAAAAGTAAAATGTCTTGGCAATGCATCTAAAATTGTCAAGATTAATTTAGATGTCATTAAGAACCTGCTTGTACTAATGGAAATGTCAAGGGCTCACCAAAGTCTTAAAGATTAATTATTTGGGGATCATGGATAGCTGTGTCAATTTTATTTTTCAAGGATGACTAAAAACACTTTGAAATACATGAGCAAAATTGGTTTAACATGCAAATCATTGAATGTGTGATTAACTCGATGACCAAATAAATTAGTTTTGGTGCACCTTTACAGACACATGACCTCTTGCAGGTGTCAAGGATTAAGGATGGAGACTTGTGGGTAATAGTTTCATCGTGTTATATGTATTGACCCTGTTACTCAATTTAAGAAATAATTGGCAATTAAGGCCTCACATTTAGCCAGAAGTCTGTAAAAGATAGGATAGGAAGAGATTCATTTGATGCGAACATTTAGAGATTCCATCAGCGTCTTTAAATCAGCATAACAAACCCCTGCTTATTCAAATTCCTCAACTATCATGGTGATGATACATTACAGCAAAATGTGGTTGTCACTACCGGCAACTGGGTTAAAATCAATGTGAATGATGTAGTGAGCAATAAGGAACAAAATACGAGTAATTGCTGTTGGTCGTTCTCCTTGGATATACAATAATGGCCTTTAGCAGAGCAAGAATCATTCATTTGTAGGAAATGACATAACTAACACTGTTGGGATTGAGCATTTCAGTTTGTCCTGAATTTTAAAAGACTTAGATAAAAGAGGAGAAGAAGACAGTAAATGGTTAAAAATACATGAAGAATGGGTAGCCACAGGGAGAGTTTGGAGTGCAAGGAAAAACAAAGGAAAGATAAAAGTGTGTAGTTTAAAAACTGGGATTACCTGCTGTAAACATTATACAATTGATAAAGTAGGTAATCAGAGAGAAGTCTGTTGTAGTTTGAAGTTAAAAGCAACATAACAGATAACATCATATACTCCATCTAAAGCCTTTTTTTCAAGATAAGATGTTTATGTCCTCTTCCTATTCAGGTCAACACAATCCCAGTACATGCAGATAAACATGTTTACTGAAACAAGTACTTTGTAAAATAACTAAGCAATATGGTGTCTATATATTATATGTGAAAAAGACAAATACAAAATACAAGGTGCCTCTTCCAAACCGCAAAGTCATTGCTGTTACACTTTGGATTTTCAACTTTCTGAAAATGTCAGAAAAATGTCTTCAATGAAGATGTGAACATCCATGCACTAAGAAAGGCTTCAGACCTCCTCAACTGCATACAGTAGCAATACATTGTTTGCATTCCATATTTATACTTGTTAATAATAAATGTAAACAAATATATACTAATGCATACAGTGTTGTAAAGCCATTGGACTTCTACAGAAGGCACAATAAAACACATGCCGGGAGGTCCTCTGTCTTTCTGACCCCATCCCTGGCACTCAGTTGGCTCCCTTCTATCTCTGCTCTATCGTTTGTGCGGTCTTCTTTATATTTCACAAATAATCCCGGTGAAATAAAGTTCACACTAGCCATTAACTGCCCTGTGCAGCCAGTCTGTCCTCACCCTAAAGGCCAGTTTCAAACATCTAAACACAACGTCTGACTTCACCCATTGGAATGCTTTGAAGCCTCGAGCTTGGCAGTTTGCCCTTTTCCACCTTTGTTTTGTGTAAGTATATGTGAGGGTTGTGAGGGTTGGGCCACCAAACGTTGAAGAATATATTTTTATTTGAGCAAAATATAACTTTAAAAAATGTGAAAGAATTTTACAATTTGGGTGCATAGAGTATCTATCTACCTCTATCCATCTTTGTCAACTGAAATCACACTGTATAAAAGGTTGCAACTATTAGATGAAAAAATTGACGAATGCAAACTGGGCAATGCAGATTGCAACCTGTCAATCACAGGGTAACCCCGCCCTTAAGTTTACAATGCTTAATCTTCTATTTAACTCTAAATGGGACCATCCGTTACTGTACATACTGTATTGATGAATACCTGAAGCTAGCTAGACATTAACATCATACACTTTAATGTGAAATGTTTAATGAGGTCATAAATGAAGAGAGAAGTAGGCCAATTTTCTCATAGACTTTATATAATAGGACCTCTGCATTTTTTTCACTTTTCAAAAATTGAGGTTGCTGCTTGGTTTCAAAACATAAAAACCGGATGAACATGTCAGATTAACCAGAGAATAGTCTTTTAAACACGATTTAAAGTGTTTTAACTATTTTCATACTTTACTGTTCCAAAAGCGAGATATACCTAAACTGTCTGCAGGAATATAATGTCCATCTAAAGGAGGAATACAAGGAATGACAAGACATCATGTGTCCATTATTATATTCTGACCAGTTGGATTCAAATCATCACTTTGTCTATTTGGATACAAAAGTAAAATTGTTCAGGCACAAGTACTTATATATGTGTGTCAGTGTGTGTATGTGTGTGTATGTGACAGCTAGTCAACCTGACATTCAACTTGCCACCTAGCAGACAGGAACATAAAACAGGAAATTGCTTTTGGGACAGCCAATCAGAAAAAGCTCACGGTAAACAGGAAGAACCCGTCACAGTGGTCTTGTCAGGTGTCAGTCATTTCCACAATGACCTGCCCACATGCCTCAGTGAAAATGTCAATCATCTCTTAATCCCAACTCTGGAGAAAAGTACTTAGGATTGTATTAGATTGTGCATCGCAGAAGTCAATTCAGGTGTATTGTTGTATAATTATATTGTTTCAGGCCTGGAGTCAGTGAACTTTCATTAAACATACAAGGTGTATGGGTGGCCTAAGGCTGCTAAAATGCAAACCATATAATTGCAACATCTTTTTTTATTGAAACTTGGGACCTTTCTTGTATAACACTTCATGCTCTCTGTTTTGCCCCTGCATATGCAATGTAATGAGAATAAAAAATACACAAATAAAACACTTTCTCACACAAAACTACTGTTGTTTTGTGTACTGGAAATAAAAATTAGTTCACTTTGTTTGTGAACTTCATATCAATTCTGAAATGTAAATTATTATTCTCAACCACAAATATAATATGGAGTAATTGCTGCCAAATTGTATTGATGGAGTTGCTATCTGCCAACTAACATATGTTATACCTTGAACAGACATCAAACTGAACCACAATCGTGTTAAAAGGCTTCAGTTGCTGCGGTCCTATTTTTTCCCTGTGATACATTTTTGGGTGTACTTTTCTGAAGGCTCCCTGTCTTCCCCCTGCATTGCGGAGGGTGGGTTGACAGTGGTCCTTGAATGTTATACTGTCAGAGACAAGCTATGGGTGTGTGTATGTGTGCGCACTTGAGTGTGTGTAATCTGTCAGAGCCTAGAGGAACGATCAACAGCTCACACAGTCAGAGGGCCACTTAAGGCCTGACACACACACACACACACACACACACACACACACACACACACACACACACACACACACACACACACACACACACACACACACACACACACACACACACACACTCTTGGTATCATGAGAATGCCATGGTTGATGTGTACCGCTCTGCTGGTGACAGGACTAAACGTGCAATTATTCTACATTCCTTTTGTTTCCATCTGGTGCTGTCCTCTCTGCCTCCTTCACTCCACTTATTTATCTGTCGACCTCTCCATTCTTTTCTTCTGCAAGATGGGCCACAATCATGAGCCATTTTCTACACATGGAAGACAATGTCATCTATCAGTTGAAGACAGGGCAACGTGAAAAATGGGAGATAGTGTTTTCAAGACATGGTAATCTATAAATTCAATTTTAGGAATCAAATTCACCAGCGAGAAAAGAATAATCAAGATTAAGATTTCAAAATCGTATTTCCACTACAATTGAAAATGTCATGGGACGATGCACTGTTTTGTAGATCATTTGGGACACTTTAGAAGCGACACGACTGACTGAGAAAGAATGAATGCAGCTGTTTTAGTTTTAAACAAAATATTATACTTATATTACATCCATTCAGAATAAATAATTCACCATTGAAAAGCAGCTGTATCAGGGTGGTGTAAAGGTTAATATAGACTGTTTTGGAATAAAAGTGTTTCTCAAATAATCACACTATTCCTTTCCCATATCGAGCAGCGTTGGATGTCATGCATAATGTTTTTGTTATTTAGAGAGTCCAAACTACTTTCCCTTTGCTAAATTTTCTCACAGTCAGCTGTTTGAACCGGCGTCAACCCTGCATGCCTAACCCCCGCAAAAACGCATCTAAACCTTCAATGGAGATGTGTGACATTTTGAACAAACCACTGTGAATTCCAACAGCGCTCTAAATATAAAAGCAGAGTGTGTTCTGGTACGACAGAGTGCCAATTTTCAAACGCTACCACAGAAAATAGGAGTGAAAACATCTATTTATCACCTTCCCTGTGGGATTTGAATAAATCAGGAAAATCAACAGGTCTCCTGCACACCTAATCAATCAGTAGTTCTATCCGTCCTCCCCAACAACATCATTAATCCCCTCTAAATATTAAATGCCCCCCCGTGAAAGATACAAGTTAGAGAAAATTGCAGAGAAAACAACAACTGTTCTTTTTATTGTGAGCACATCAGCTAACAGAACCAAAAAGCCTCTCGGCTACTAATTCCTGGAGAGTAGTATCCTTTGTCGCTCATTTAAAGAACGAGGCTGTGCTCTCCTCTGTGTATTTGTTATCTTCTAGATCTAAAACACGAAGGCTATGTCAATGCTACTATACTCTCACATGTCAGTGTGTGTGCGTGTTTCATTATGAACCCACTCAACGTGTGGTGTGTCACTCCTGCTGATTTTCACAACGACTACGTGTGTGCACTCCATCATAACTGTTTATCTACTCCACAGTGAGAGTGAGGTGTGTGTTAGTATGTATCTCACCATATGCTTGGTGCCTCTGTCCCGCTGATTTCCAGGAAGTCATATTTGTCCTCTAATAAGAAGTCATTAAAGACCAGCGCTATAGTATCCCCGGGCTCGGAGAGGATGGACCACGTACAGTCCAGGTTGTTGTCATACTCGGCAGGGAACCCAGGACTGGTTATGGAACCTGCGGTGCCTCGTAACGTGCCGCCACACGCTCCCTCCGCTGAAGAGACAAAGAGAGGTAACAGGACAGAGAATAAGAACAAATTGTAACTTTCAAAGTATTTCATAATTCCTTAACATATTTCTTTGCTTTTATTTATGGGTTAACTTGACAATTTATTTTTCTTGTAACTGTCTTATATCTTTTTTAGCTGTTGGTTTTTAAATCATTTTGATTGTTTCTTTTTTTTTTTCTCTCATGTGCATCCATTTTTACTGTTGACATTTACAATGCCATATTATCAGGTTGTCATTTCTACAATACTATATTTCACTATTCAATACTGAAGGTGCTCTCCAACCTAGTTCCCTAGATTGATTCATTATTGATATCACATTTTAAGAAAATGTTGTGTACTTGGTATGGAAAAAAAGTGTATTACATGTGTTTAAATCAGGACCATGTACAACATAGCATTAAACCCATAACACGGGCTTTGTACTAGCTTACTACAGTACAAATCTCACTATAAGCTTACTTCCATGCGTATATCCTGAGCCTAATTTAATATATCATACAACGCTTCTCTGCATATGCTAATAAGAATTTTACAACTAAAAAGACAACAATATTTGTATTTTCCTCTTAGTCATCTATCATGATTAAATTAATGAATCAGCACTTAATAAACTGTTTTAACGTTAAAACAAAGTACAATCAATATATTTTAATCGAGGCGTGTGGCGCAGTGGATGAAGCCTTGGTATGGGGTCAGATGGTCACAGGTTCAAACCCCACTGCAGTCAGCATATCGTTGTGTCCCTGGGCAAGACACTTCACCCCAAGTTGCTCCTGTGGGGATTGCCCACAGTATTGAGTATGTAAGTCGCTTTGGATAAAAGCGTCTAACATGTAATGTAATATATAGAGAAAAGAAGACGATCAAATCATTGAAATTAAGTGTTTGAAAACATGCAACGTTTGAAATGAGATTTAAAGACAATTATAACAAGATGCTGAATCCCTGAGCTGATCTGTTGAACCACTTAGTGGCCCTGATGGTGAAAACCTGTGCAGATATTGTTTGGTCAGTGGACTAATGAACCATCAGAAGGGCTTTGTTGAGGATGTTAGGCTACATCTGGTTCATATAATGGCTTGTTAGGTAACTTGAGAACTTGCTGTGCTTTAAAAGTAATCAATACACTGAGGCTTCTCAAATTATCCAGACCTGTGACCCTATGTTAAGGTCCTTCAGTTCTCATAACCCCACCAATTACAGGGTTTGTTTTGACAGAGGGAGAAAAAAGGAAGAAAGGAATAAACAGAGAAAGAAACAGAGAATGAAAGAAAGAAACAACATCTTACCTCTACAAAATGGTGAAGGGAAGTCCCACTGTGCTCCACTGCCAGGTGATACAATACAGGTGAGGATACTGTGTCCTTCCAATACAAAACCTGACTCACAGCTGTATCGGATCTTGTCCCCCATGTTGTACCGCGAGCCATGAATGACTCCATTGGGGATGACGCCCGGGGTGCCACATGTATGGCTGGGCAGGACTGAAACAGAAAGAAGAAAACAGACAGAATTACTACTTTTGTTAAACCATACATAGAATATCAAAATAACCACTTGACCTCTACAAAACACAAGCATATCAACCGACCCAAACAAATGCTAATCAGATATAAACAACTCAACAACAGACATCTTATCAGATTTATATGTGTTGCTGTTTTGGTCACAATATATCCTTCAGGAGCTCTACCGAACTTTGTGGACGATTACCCCTTAAATCAAATCAATAACCAAGCGTCACTCGGCTTACAGCATGTTTAATCAAAGACTCATTCTTGCTTCTCAGATTGTCTCATTTGGGTAATTTCCACATGGCTGAAGAGACTTAAGATTCAAGATGAAAAGGCTTTATTGTCATATGCATAACAGCTGCAGTGTGGTTGTAAGCACTACATCTTAAATGCTGGGCTCCTTCAACAATGCAATATTCAACAATGAAATATGAAATACTTTGCAGGAGAATGCCATTCTGTGTACTGTAACATGAAATGTATGGATGAAAATACATAAGTATTGTTTAGTTTCTCCTTAGGCACATGTTTAATTTCAATAATATGTTTTAGACTCTTGTGGTACACTATGTGAGGATTCACACCAATGCTAAAATGTCAAATATATATCAGAATATTTACACTGAGATAGATGTGCATTATTCCTATTCTGAAATGACTGCAGTGAACGCTGACCAAATACTAACATCAGAATAAACAACATGAATTAAGAAAGATAATTATGTTTGGTTTTCCAAAAAAATTAAAATATTCCAAAACGTGTAGTATTTAGACTTCTGGCTGGCTTTTTGTCTCCAGTGTGCATCTGCTGTCGCCAGTAGTTGGATGACATAGCTCTACAGTGGGAGCAGCTACAGGCAGCTCATGGTATATTAAGCCAAAATCAATCTATGACTGTAGCCAACTCGCCTTAGCTCTACAGACGGGTCATCGGCTCCGTGGCTGTAGTACAACCTGGACGCACTCCACCGCATCTGACCCCGGTGTATGCTGTGTGTATTTGTTTAACTGGAGCATGTTAACTTGCTGGGTGTGTACTGTGTGCGTGTAATGTGTATCCAAATGGCTAATTTTTGTGTGTGCGCGTGTGTGCATGCACAGTGCAGTGTGTACACGTAAGGGGCATTCAGTCAGTCAATCTGTGTGTTTGTGGATGCTGTTCCAATTAAACGCCAGCATGGTAATTAGACAAAGCTTCACCATGAGACCCTGAGAACTAGGACAGAGAGAAAGAGGGAAGGGTGGGGAGGGGGCAGAGAAAAAGAGGGGAGAGGAAGATGATAAAAAAAGAAAGGATCATGATGAAGTGGCAGACAGGAGAGATGAGAAAGAGGAGTACTAGCGATAGGATGATGGAGGGAGAGAAGGAGGATGCAGGAAAGGGGAAATACAGTAACTCTAGTCATACAGGAAAAGAGATAGGGGAACTAATTGCAGCTAGCCCTAAACATGTATAAATCACACTTATTGACTCATTATTTGGATGGAATGAAGTCATGCATCATAGGCAAGTTACTCACACTCAGCTGATCGTGCTGCCTGCTTTGATTTAACAAGGTGAGACACAACCAAAATCAAAATCCAAGGTAAAGGCAGTGGCTGAAGGATGGGAAGAAGTGGGTAAAGAATGAAAGGAATGCTGTGTCTGAGCCAGGTCGTTAGTCACACTTATGTGACTGCACAGTGCTCTGTCTGCCAGGCTGCTATTGTTTAACAAACCAACTTCATACACAAAGGTATTCCCTCATTTAGTCTGATGTCTGAAACAATCAGGGAGTATTTTGGAAGGATAAATCGTTGACAAGTATCCATACTTATCCATACTTAACGACAGCTGCACTTTTGAGAAACCATTCAGAATTAGGCTACAAAGTGTTGTTCTCTTTTCAGCTATCACAACAAAAAGTGAGCAAGTAGTCTGGTTTGCTAAGATTACACTTTTGAATTATGCTATTTTGGTTCTATGTGCAAAACAGGCGATTACCTGCAGTGGGAATGTAGGATGGATTTAAAATACAGTACATACATTATGAAAAGATATGACAGCTGAAAACTCCCACTCATGAACTACTTTATATTAATAAACATGTATACTGCAGGTGTTTACTTTATAGCTGTATTTAAGAGGATTTGAGTTCCCCAGACCCCCTAAAAACCCTTTTTCAGCTACTTCAACTTTAAGTCATGTTTCAGAAATGTACGGTTTCTATTATAAGGAAATTCTACAGAGAATTACACTGAAGCCAAAAATAAAATCCGATACAGCGACTTGTTCTGCACCATGCATGGGGCTGTTTAGTATGGACAGTTCCTGGTGCTGAAAGGAAGTGTATTGAACTTGCCAAACAACTTACAGTTTACAAAATGGATGGAATAAATGCTACACTTTAATCAAACTATACTATTATTTGTATTTCTTTATTTAACAAGAAAGATAAAAAGAATAAATTAAACACATTGGTATTTGGCCTCCACCTCTTAATTGTTGGCCCCTAGTCTACAATGTTCGTAATAATAATAACAAGTCAGTAAGTGATTTGTTTTTACGACAAATTCAGATTACAAATTAATAATAGATTTTTTTTATTTGACATCAATAATCAGTATTATTTTGGCAACTACAATTTATTTACCACGCAGATTGAGAGATTATTACTGGCTATGTGCACAGTACTTTGATTTGTTTGGCTTGTTTTTAATTAGCAACCTTGTTTAGCTCCACCTCATGCCCCGAAACGTTCACATTAGCTGCTTGCAATTTATTCAGCATCATCATTATTTTGATTAGTTAATTTTGGATGAGTCATTGGTGCCTTATTTTATTTATTCAAACAATTTG